GGAGAGGAGAGGAGAGGAGAGGAGAGGAGAGGAGAGGAGAGGAGAGGAGAGGAGAGGAGAGGAGAGGAGAGGAGTAAAAGCAACCTTTTGACAAAATAGAACGGTTTTGATGCAATGATTTTTTTTTTCCTAAATGTAGACCTTCATTTGCATAAGAATTTTGTTGGACCAATACTGAAGACCTTTCAGAGTAATCTTAAATAATCTAAAAAAGATCCCATTAAGAATATTTATTTAAACTCTCTTTGAATGGATAAGGAAATGTAAATTCAGGTATTTGCTCTAACTAGAGTAGAACAAAAACTTTGACCTGGATCTTCATTAATGAAGGCAATTTTATCCCACATTGCAATAACATCCTCTCTTGCCTTCCAAGGCTTTAAAGTGTTGCTCTATTTTCAAAATTACTTTCTACATAATTTTTCATGCTGCTTATTGGATAATTCCAAAGATCACCTTCTGCAGTGAACAGGACAAGTTGTAATTAGCTGAGATGATGAACATGGCTAGACTTTGACAAAAAAGAGCAGCTTTCATATAGCTCAAATAATTCATTGAAATTAGTACACCTGATTATTTGGATTTAAGGAAAGAAAATAAAAGCACATAATAGTACAGGCACAGTAACTACAATACAATTAGTGTAATTGTAATGTAATTGTAATGCAGTTGCAATTTGTTAAAAATCATTCTTGCTAATGTATCTGAATTGTGAAGTCTAATTGAAGTTTACTTGATATTTTCATCTTCTGTATAACACAAGAGAAACTCCTTGTCCATTGCTTCAGTTGTCTCAATTTTTTTGTTTCAGTTTCTCTGAAGAAACTGGGCAAAAATCCCTGATATTCCATTGATATTGCAATAAGGATGTCCAGTCAACTGCTTGATCAGAACATCTCTTTGTATGGAACCAGTGGTATTGTTATGAGAAGGGGATTTGGATTGACTTCCTCTTCTGCTGCATAAAATATGTTCAGGCTTAGTGAGTCCAAGTTATGTTGATTCCTTAACAAAACTTCAGGTGATTCCTAATATGTTTGGTAAAAGGCCAAGGATGTGCCAATGCTGAGCACCACATTCCTGTTAGGTGCTCAGTTCCAGGGGCCCAGGTTGCAGCCAAAGCTGATAGCCAGTCTGCTGAGGGAGTGAGGCAGGGAAGGAGACAGCAGCTTTGCTTCAAAGAAATGTTAGCGTAGTGTCTCTCATTTAAACCAAAAGCTAGGCCAAGGATGAAAGAAGTAAAGTTAGATTTTGTGCCTAAAATGATGTCTGGGATTTAGATGCTATCCCTTTCTCCTTGAACAACTGGCTTACTCTTTTTCCCATGGTCTTGCTAAGAGGAGTTGCTGACACTTATCTTTAGACAAAGTGCCTTAACTTGATTTAAGGTGAGCCAAATGTTCTCAAGTGCTCATTAGCTGTGTCGCAAATGACCATCCTCAGTGCCAAAAAGAATTCCCTTCCTCTCTCCACTGCCCTGCTGGGCAGGGCAAGGGAGCACCAAAGGAGTCTGATCCAACTGCCCACTGGAAAAGTCACTCTGCTGGGAAGAGGAAGCACTGAAGCCCTCTGGAGGCTGCTGCAGACTTTTTTCCCATGACTTTTCAATGCAAAAAATGCCAAAACAGTTGTGGAAGCAAGAGCCAGGGCTTCACGGATTGCATACATCTCCAGTGTTGTTTGCTAGACAGTTGTATGCCTTTTCCTGGAGACAGCAAGAATTGGAGCACTGTGTTGAAAGTTTAAATGCCAAATAACTTTAGAATAACCTGCAAAAAGTAATGACTTCCCTAAATTTCCATGAGAAAGGTGCTGGAATGCATCTTGAAATAGATGAGTTTTTATCTTTTTCCAAAGCCCCTGACCTCAGTGGTATGTGAAAAAGAGAATTGCAAGAATGCAGGAGAAGCTGTAGTCTGTCAATTCTACTTATTTCTCTGTATGTGGAATTAAGTTACTAATTAGGGTAGGGAGCCGTAAGAGAAGTCACATGGTCTTTTGCCCTGAAGATCTTAAAATTACAAATACTTGAAAAGATATTCTTAACATAGACCTGGGAACTAATTGGTTGTGGCTGTACACAAGGAAGAGTTCATTATTTTCAGTTTGCAAAATATCTTTATCCTTAGTATTTCAAGATTCTTGCTAGTACTTAGACAGAAAACCATCATTAAAAGTAAATAGGTTATACTGAGGGATTTTTTCAGTATGAAGTACTCAATCTCTTGCCAGAACTTAATGAAATTTATGATGTGAGAATGTCTACCAGCTGAAAAAAAAAACTAAACTCTAATTTTTTTTTGGCTGTAACAAATCTGTAATAACCTTTAGCATAGCTATGTCAGTGATTTTCACAAGCACCACACACTATGCATAGAGAAAGCTAATTGTGAGACACCTGAGATCATTTTTCTGTGTAAAAGTAGCTAGTCCAGCCTTTCTTTGGCAGTTGTTCCCAGCTGTATACATTAAGTGGCTCTCTGATACCTAGCTGAATATTCTTTAGAATAGCTGGATGAGTAAATCCCACAGTTATGATACTCTGCCACTCCACTCCATGGGACAGCAACTTCTGTTTGGGAAGAGCTCTTTCTGTGCAGGCACTTCAACTGATGTGGTCCTCACAGAAACCTCCAGATCTTCCCAGGGACTTGGGTGGATCCAACATGGAGCAAGGCACCTCCAGAGTTCTGAGCTGAGGTGGGCACCACCTGCCTTACTGGTTTCAGTTAGGCAGCAGCAGCCTTTGCTGCTCAAATAGGAAAGACCCTCAGGAAAGGGCATTATCTAGATGATCAAGAAGAATGAATCAGAAATGTGGGCTTTGTCAGCTGCTGTGAAAAGCATATTCTTCTGCATGATGAAGAAAACTGAGTATATGGAAAAAATATTATTATTTAATGAGCTCCCATTGTCATTCTCATTTGAAGTTGCTAATGAGGCTGAAGTCAATATCTTTCATCTATTCAGTAAAGTGAATTCTTCATCTTGACAGTCCAAGATTGCCAGTGGGTAGACAGAGCTTTGTGAGAAGAACTAAATGGTGTTTACGGTGGTGACTGATTATCTCCTGAAGAATCATGTGTTTTTCTCCAACAGTAGAGGATATAATTTAATTAGACTGTTATTTTAAATGTTCTGACTTTTTTAATGTATTAACTTATGGCCTGTGGCTGATAGAAAAGAAATTAACGCTGACTCCTTTGAGTGTGGAATGAATTGCATTTTGCAAGGGGAGAAAATTAATTATAAATGCCTGCTATTTAAGTTTTCCAGATTCAGATGATAAATGAAGCAATTATTACATGTCAAGTATATAAACAGTAATTCGTCAACATTTCAGCTTATTAATTCTAACATTTGCCATTCCATGTAACATATTTATCACGTTTTATTGCTTGTTGATGAAAAATCTAGCTTAGTTCTCTCAATTATCTTTACACAGCTGCATAATGAAGCAACAAAGTAAGGATGTATATCATACTCCTGAATGCCATGAAAGGATTCTTGTTTGTCTTGACCTGAGCTCAGAATAAAGCACTGAGATCTGAGCCTGGCCCAGCTACAGGTGTTCCTCATTTCAACTTCCCAGCCTTGCTTTCAAGGTGTTATGCTGCCATGCAGATTGCACATCAAAGTCCATTTCTGCCTATTAATGTGTGGCCCAAGCCCCACTGATTCAGTCTTCCTGGGTGCTCCTTCCTGCTCCTTATAATCCCACCTCTGTGCTTCCCTCATCCTTTCTCTATGCCAGCAATTACATAAGAGCTGGACTGAGAGAGCTCCATCATTTTCACATCTGTCTGAAACCCTGGTGCTCTGCTGCACTGCCCACAAACTCTGCATTGGCATGTGTGACCCATTTCCTTTCACCCTCTCATTCTCAGAGACATCTGTCTAATACAGGATTCTCCACCTTTTACCTTATGGACTGAAAACAAAGGCTTAAGCTCCCTCTTGACTAAGACAGACATGTCTGTTAATGATCTATTTATGGAGCTGTTGTAAAATCTTCCAGTGCTGTGCAGCTGCTTCAGTCTGGAGGCTCTTCTTGTTGGTGTCAAAATGCAGAAGCATGGCCATGCAAGTGGATAGATCACAAGCTGGATAGCCTGGGTTTTCTGACAACTTTTTGCTGCTGTGTGATATGTGATAAATTTTTTTATATCCCAGGGTGAAATTTTGGCCCAAGTCACACTGGTGGAAAAATGCCATTACTTTAACCCCTGGTGTTTTGTTATTCCTTCACAAGGTTAGCCAAACTAGGTTTTGGGCTGCAAAAAACACAGTAAACACATTCCACTTGAATTTAAAGGAAAAGGAAAATTTAAAAGCACATTTTACAAACCAGTCACTTTAGGAAAGTCATGTATGCTGACAGTTGCTGAAATGGCTACTATACACTCATTTTAGGCTTACCTGTAATCAAATAGCTTTGCTAATAAACTCTAAGTTTTCAAGCCTTAAGGCTGCATCAGTCCCTAGGACTATTTATCCACAAACACATGGTGCATGTGAATTATGGAATAAAGCAAAACCTGCACAGAAACCCACACTTGCAACAGGCACCTTTGCACCAAGAATCTTGATCTTATTCCCCTATTGACAAGACAGAGGCTGAAGCAGACCACGGATGACCAGGATGATGAATGCAGCCAGTCTGTGTTTTGTCCTGGACTGGCACAAACCCAGTTCTGCTGGGCCATCCACCCTCAGAGCCATGTGCATGGCTTCTCCCTCTAAACTTATCTGATGAGTCTTAAGTCCCATCTTAAAAACAGTCCTTCCCATCCCTGAAGGGAGTGCTTATTACCTTTTAGCTTTTTTTGTCTGTTTCAACATATAACAGACTGCAAACTATTACTATCAAGTAATTGATATTGCTCTGATGCATACAGGAGCAAAAAGTAATTTAATTTGTTTGTGTGCAATACCTTTATATTTATTATGAAACAGTACGTTTATAGGAGCTGCCACAATGTTGTCAGCATAGGATAAGTTGACACCAGAGTCTAACAATATCATATAAAAGCAACATTTGAATTAGTTATCATATACATCAGTCTCACTTGCCCTGATTAGTTAAGCAGAAATGCAGAAAAACAGTTTTAAACAGAAACTTAGAAAGAAATACCCAAATTTGTAAGGTTAGTATATATTTTTTAAATAATAATAAAAAAAAAATTGCCCATACAAAACATTAATAGTATTATACTTGAGAATACATGGAACAAATGACAGGTTGACAGTTTGTTCAGAAGGCTGCACAGCACAGTAGTACAACTAGAGTGGAGGATGTCACAACACCTGATATCCCAAAATAAATTACAGGCTCATGAACAGAACTTTTTAGTTGACAATATCAAATTTGTTCCATACTTCCACCCGTGTCTTGGGGTCAAACAAATGTTACCTCTCTAACAGCATCCTCTTTCCTTGTCTTGCTGTTGTTCAAAGAACTACTTGCAGATGTTCAAGGTTACTTTCCTGCAAGAGACAGGGAAGCTATTGCATTCCTCTTAAGAAAATAAGAGTCTTCTCCATGTTTACCTAATATATATATCAGGCTGTGCTGTCTGTGTTATCTCACAGTGTAAAATAAAAATCTTAGAGGCTATGTTCATATATGAAGAGTCATTGAGATATTGACTGTGTAACCAGACATTGTGGCCTAACCCCAAGTGAGAGCTAAATACCGTGGAGCCACTTGCTCACACACCTATAAATAAAGCCCCTGGGTAATAATAGTAATAACAATAATAATAATAATAATAATAATAATTAATAAAGAGGAGACAATAAAAAGAGAGAGAGGAATAAACCACAGAAAAACAAGTGATGTGCAATCCAATTGCTCACCCCCTGCTGACCAATGTCCAGCCTATCCCTGAGCTGTGAAAAGCAGCTCCCAGCCAGCTCCTCCCAGTTTATGAAATGGGCATGATGTCCTATGGTATGGAATAACCCTTGGGCCAGTCTGTGCCAGCTGTCCTGGCCATGCTTCCTCCTGGCTTCTTGCACACCTATCCACTGGCAGAGCATAGGAAAGTGAAAAGTCTTTACTAAGGGTAAGCACTGCTCAGCAACAAGTAAAGCATTGGTGTGTTATCAACATTGCACTGTAACAGCTACTAGAAAGAAAGAAAAGAAAATCCCTAGCCCACAAAACCAGGACTCTAGGAATAAGAAATAAAAGAGTTTCATTTCTCTTTTGCATTCCTATACACTCTAAGAACATCACATATATGTATTTCTGAGATGATCACTTTGTTTTGAAGAATTAGAATGTTAAAATTTCTTCTTCTCTGCAATAGTGCTTTCTTTCAGCTATATGTTTTTAATGAGAACTGAAACAAATGCTGACTTTCATCTGGATAGGATCTGAAGCAGTGTCTTCCAGATGCACATGACCCTACTTAATTTAACTGACTTTAGCAGTGTTTGAGGATTATTTAGATGTTCTCTGCTGACTCAGTTACAAAGCATGCTAGAAAAGCAAAGAATCATGTGCTTATCTCGTACCCTCCTGTGGCACCACCAGTGCTCTACTTGCTGCTGCTTTTTTTGATTGATATACCTGAATATTTCAGTCCATTTAGGGGAATCTCTATACACTCTACTAAGCTAGAGAATAGAGGTACCTCCTAGGTGATGTGATAGAAATTTTTTTAATGAGAATATTGTGTAAAAAAAATCCTTGCAGTAAATAAACCAAGTTTAGTTTGGTTTGTTGTTTGTTTGTTCTTTTAAGGGACACACTGATTTTTACAGAGATAATTATCTTGTACATAATTGGCACCTTTAGCTAAAGGCCCTGAGAATACTTTCCATGCAGACTCAGTAGAACTCTTCATTTAAAAAAGTAATCAAAATTTCATAGCAAAAATCTAAGGCTGATACTTATCCAAGATTTTCTCATTTGGAGCTGGACAATAAAATGAGAGAAAATATCTCAGAATGTGAAGGGCATTGAAGGGAGACCACTTCAGATATTTTTGAGCATAATTCAACTCACTAGCTAAATTAAGGAGTCCATCCTGTGCAAATTCAGCTCACTCAAAATGCAAAGCCTGGGGTATTTTTTTGGTAGGCCTTCCAGCAAAAACAGTCTCAAAATAAAAATACATAAATCCATCCCAGTCTAGGCTGCCTTCAGGGATGTGAGAGAAATAAAACATAATACATCCCAAGAAGATGTATTTATGACATCTGGAGCAGGCTCAGTACAATGAGGTTTGGACCAAAGACTGCCTCACCATTTGCTAAGCTATCCACAGTGACAGTGAGCAGAGAAGGAGCATAGCAAACCATTTACCTAATAACTGAGCAAACAGACTAGATCTTTTTTAACAAAACTATTTTGAAAAATATTTTAGTAACAGCTAAAAAATGTGACCAATAAAACCCCTAATTTTGTCCAGGAGTACTTGCAGTAAGTCACAAGGAATGCAGCTTCTATCCTCTCTGTATCCCATTATCACCACAGAAATAAAGCAGGTAATTTACAAAATGCCAAAAATTTGCTTGCCAGGACAAAACAACATTATTTATTTTTGTGCTTGGTTGAAGGTCTTTCATTATTTTCTTAAGGGGTTGAAACAAGAATAGCACTCTTCTGAATGTCAAAGCAGTTTGACAGGTTTTTTTTTAGCAGCATTACAAAGTCATGATCTGCCTTTGGTGTTGACAAAATTAAAGGTATTATGGAAAAGGTAAATATTCTATATTCCAAACAATATGGGTTGAGTGAATTTGACTTGTGAAATCTCTTGCAACTACCAAAAGCAGTGTCATAAAGATTAATCCTGTCTCTAGGTTAAAGAAGGAGCAGAAATACTGCAAATTAGATTTATCAATATTGAAAACAGCAGTAATTTAAATTCTAAGCATGTTTTACTCTTGACAATATTTGATACAGAAGTCACATACCTATCTCTTTACACAAAGAGAAAAAATAAGTGATTTCTTTTTTTATATGCTTCCTCAAAAGTCTTTAACATCATCTAGATTTAAAAAAAAACCAAAATCACAAATAATTTTGCTTATGCTGACAGCAGGAAGCATCAAGCTAAAGAAAAAACTAATTGAAAAAATTAAATTAATTAAAATTCAACTCTAATTGATATAGCTGATATAAATCCTTTCCTTTTAAGTGTTTGAATTTGCTAAATCTTCTACTTCAGTGCATATGTTTTCATGTCTAGTTTTAAAAGTTCTTATTCTGTCAGAATCTTTACAATCAAAATTCAAAGTAATATTTTTGTTTAAGCACAGAAACTGGTTTAGCATAGTATAGCAACCTCTCATTTAGAGAGAAAATCCATTGAGAGGGGAAGAGTAAAGGCAGAATGGAAGATTTCCAAGAATCAATAAACATTTAGGAATGTACTGGAGATGAGAATGTATAAAATTGTTATCAAGCTTCCATGGTGGTGCACTTATTCACTGTTCTTGGAAACGTGGAAGTGTCATTGCGGTCTCCACTGAAGTCGGGGGGAAGGAGTTGGTTTTCTGATATGGATCCAGGTGGATATAAGAGGTTTACCATATCACTAAGGAATGGCTTGTCTGAAAAATACAGAGAATATCCCACTGGAGCCTTGGACCTGGAAAAACACTGCACCTCCTTTTGCAACTTAGTCCCATGAAAACTGAGCAACCTGTAAGAATTACACTCATAACTAATGTTGAGTTTATGGTGGCAGCACTTCATTAATATGCAATTAACTGTCCCCATGAAAGAGACGAGAATAGCAAGCTGGGCTTTATCTTGAATTCAGTTCTTTGAAAAGTGCTTTTCAAAAAAGTCAACACCAGCATTCCCACAGCCATAGATATAAATCCATGGAGCTCATGTCGTCTTATTTACTTTTTCAGGTGTATGACCAGTTTCTAATCTCCTCAGATGTTACTTCGCTACAGCAATTTGTCAAAAAAGTCCTGAAGCTTCTCTTAAATTTTTTCCTCCCAAAAAAAAGTAAAAGCGACAGATAAGAACCCAGAGGTACACCTGCCTGGCCTGCATTCTGCAGTAAAACCTCTCTGCCTGAGCAGACATCCAGCAGACAGTGCCAATAGTGGCCAGGAGCTTTGTGTGAACTTGTGGGATGTGTCCAGCCCTGGCAAGGTGTACCATGACACCTGGGTGCCTCAGAATTCCTTGGTGGGGAGTCAATCTGCTTCTCAATCCAGAGGAATTGCTTGGCTGTGTAATTTCTGAGAGTCCTTGTTTTGGTTTTGCTTCAGCTGGCTGAAGTGTGGAGAGGGGACAACACTAAGTGGAGAGGCTCCAACTCCCACCTTGCCAGCTGCTGGCCCTGGAAAGTTCTTCCTGCAGCAGAGCCCCTTCTTCACTGGCCCCATGGGTGTCCCTGAAGCACTGGGCATGGTGTCAAGTGATGTTTCACAGCTGCAGGCTAAAGTGAAGATGTAGCAAGGAAAGCAGCAGGTGAGCTTGCAAGATGAGCAGTTCTTCTGCGTATTTGGAAAATTGCAGGCCATTAAGTTTGATTCAATATTGGCTGTTAATCCTGGACTGCTCTTCTTTCCTCCCCAGATTGGTGCAAACATAAGGAAGAATGGAAGGCCA